AATGGGTTTTGTAGAAAAAGAAACGATCCGAGAGAAAAGTATAAAAGAAACAAAAAAAATCGTAACGTTCCGTTTACTTTGCATAAAGATTCATTTTTTTTTTTTTTTTTTTTTTTTTTTTTTTTTGTTAAGCAAGTTTGTTTCTTTTTTTAAACGAAACCTTTATGATCTCAGTAAATAGAAAGGACAAGAATGTTCACGGTATACAACCGTAGATATGTACAAAATCCAGAAATAAAATCATTTCTTAAAACGGGCTTTAAAGAAAACTCTTTCGAAGGTTTACCTCAGGTTTTCGCGAGACACATCCTTCGTGTTCTCCGAGATAAAAGCTTCATGGTGTCGCAGAACGACAAGACTTTTCACAAAAGTCTACCTCTCGCTTTTTCTTTTTTCCAGTTTTATCAAGCCAAAGAATATCGTCCTGTGTTCGTCAGTTTCTCAAAGAATTGTCGGAAAAAAAAAAAAGAAAAAAAAGAAGAAAAAAGAAAAAAACCAAGCAATTGGAACCTTTTTATTTTTAACACCAATGATAAAAATATCATCGTCATCATTATTACTATTATTATTATTATTATTATTATTATTATATCATTTCTACAAACGAAAAGAAACAAATCGAATTAACGAGATAATTCGATAGAACAGAAATATTCCAGATGAAATTTCGTAAAAGCGCGTCCAGGTCCAGTCCAAAAATGGAATTATTGTCGAGACGATCAACAACCAACGACGGCAAGATGTCGACGTTAAAAAGATCAAGATCATTTCGTGCTTCGGTTAAATTAATATCGAAGATTCGAAATCGTGCGGCATTCAAGTTTACCTCGGGTATCGAACTTTCCCCAATGTCTTCGAAAGATTATTGTAAAACGACGCGATCGTTTTCTTCGAAGGATACTAATAAAATACAACAACAACAGCAGCAACAAGAATCGCCAAGGATTCATTTGAAAAATAACGAAAAGAAAGAGAAGTCGATTTGTAATAAAAAAGGTACGAAAAAGTACGAAGACATTTGTCAGGAAGATAGTCGTACGTTGTCAGAAACTAATTCGTCGATCGGTGTAGTAGAATCTTGCGGTATTACGAAGGATTTTGAGAAAAAGCTTTCTCTCGGGGATAAGATAAACGTGAAAAATCGAAAATTTGTAGAAAAATCTTGCGAGAGGAGAATGATCGAGGAAGAAACGAAATCGCCAAAGGTCGTACGTATTTTTTGTCGAAAAGTAATAGCCGATGATAGAAGAAAAAAGAATAACGATGAGAAATCTAAGGTTAAGGGAAAGATGGAAAGTGACGAATGCGGTTACGAAAATCCGATGTTCTCTTTGGACAGTTCCCTTGATTCGAGCTTTGCTTCTGTAGAAACCAATTTGAAAAACGAGGAATATGTAACACGTGGAAAATGTTTCGAACGTGTAATCGAAAAAACTAATTTCCAGAAGGAGGATGAGGATGAGGAGGAGGAACAGCAGCAGCAACAGCAAAGATTTTCTATGTCGTTACTTTCTTGCAAATCTGATCTCAAGTATGTTAGGAGTTTCAGTATGAAAGAGGAAAGAAGCTTCGATAAAGATAAAAGTCCCGGAGATAAAAGAAACGAACGGCCAAGGACGAATTTTTATTCCGAAAGCGAAATTAATAGTTCGCCGAGATTAAGGCATAAATATCTTAGTGAATTTGTATCGTCGGTTGATAGTAGCACGGAAAGTGTTTGCTCGACTAAATCATGCAAAAATCGGACTGTCGATAATTTGACTAATTTTTGGACAAATGCTCGTGGTGGAAGCTTTCGTAGCAAGATGTCCGCCAATAAAAAGAAACTTGGAAAGGAATCAAAGGATCTAGAATCGATCGGGCAGGATCGAGTTCTCGTCACGACCACTTCCGGATCAAGTACGCTAGACCACACGAAAGCTTTTCATTAATAGCTATATGTTACCATCGTTTAATTGCTTTCTCACGTAAAATCGATTTCCACGAAAGGCAATATGAACACTCGCGAAACTCTCTTTGTTCTTTCAAATAATATTTTATATAAGTACAGATTTTTGAAATATTTATCAAAAATACACGTATCTCGATCAATGAAAAATCATTCTCGTTGAAAATTTGTATTCATTCTTTATTGTTTTGTTTATTTTTATTTCCAAAAAAAGAGAAAAACCAACGTGAAAATATCTTATTATCTTATGAAATAAATAATTTTTTGATTATTATATTTTATGAAGAAGAATTAGATCGTTTTAATATTAATGGATTTACAATTAGTTGACATTTTGTTTTGCTTGTTCATCTTTTCACAGAGATTCGCAACTTTGAATATTATTTTCTTCCTTTTTTTTTTTTTCTTCGTTTATTCTTCGTCTTAAGTTCTATTTGTTTGTCTTCTTTAATTATTCATTTTTGTTCTTCTTTTTTTTTTTCTTTATTTCTATTTACATAGAACTGCAATCGCTACAAGGGATGGAGTTCTTGGAAGGGTTTGGAAAAAAGAAGCAACAGCCACAGCAACAACATTCAAATAATCTATCGTCGATTCACATTAATCCTCTCTCGGCACAATCCCTCAACATACATTTGCATGGTATATTATTTACAAATTTTTTCTTTATATCTTTCAAACGTAAGACTGATCTTTTTTCTCATTGATGTATTTATTATTTCAATGTTTATCCCATCCCTATGAAGTTTTATCTGGACAAATTACGTATCTTAAAAATATATATTATCAAACATAGCATTTAATTATTTATTATTCATGTCTTTGTCTATAATAACATTTTTGATTTGATTTGCAGCTCTTTTCGCAGCCGTCGAACATGGTCATTTGGACAAAGCCAGAACTATTTTGGAATCGACCGATGTGGATGTGAACAGGTCAGAAAATTTATACAATTTTCATATTAGCTTCATCGTACAAAAAATATTTACGAATAATAACGATCAATAATAAACATGATGCACTTATTATCGCATATAATAAAGAGAGAGAAAAAAAAACATAATTGTCGTTAAAATATTGTAAGTTGTTCTTTTTCTTAATATAAAAAAACGTAACACCATCGCATTAACAAAAAATTGAAATACAAAAATATTATTCCGTAAACATTATTCGCTTCGTATCGAAAGTTAATACATAACATATGAGATGAACTTTCGAACGAACAGGACAGAAAACCGATAACATTATTTGTCAACGATACGTTGCTTCACTTAGACTGCGAGTTTCTCAAAAGTAATTTTCTGTTTGGTTGGAATGTTTCCAAGAAAGAAAAAAAAAAAAAAAAACAGAGAGAAAGGGAATAGGTTTATAAAAGAGAAGATTTTTAACAGAGTATTTATAAAAACTTTGCCATTTTCTATATCGAAAAAGATTTTAACTTTGATATTGTGTCGAAGGATCGAACAATTTCAACTCCTTGTTGGTAGCTGTCCGTACCATATGGGATAGATACAAACAAAAAATTTCTTTACAAAATACTGACCAACATTTAACGTTTCAATACAAAATCTTTTATTGTTGTTCTTTAACATTTAGATTAACATTTTAATAAATTAAACGAGTTCTGATCGAAAGTCATTAAAATAAAAATAATTATACATTATGACAGAACTTTCACACGAGAGATGCAAATTTTGATATAATTTAATTTAACAGGATCAAACGTGTCCTGAGTAATGAGTTAATTGTCCTAATACTTTTGCAATCGTCTTGTTTTTCTCTCTTTTTTTTTTTCTTCTTCTTCTTCTTTCATCAAAATTGGCGAACGAAACGTCGTGAAAGCTTTCCTCGGTTGTATAAATCTACTAGAAATCCATTCTAATTTGAAATTCACCGATCTTGCCTATTTCCTGGCAAAGCAATCGTCTCGCTCTCTCGCACCTGAATGCAATTCACTTTCGTTGAATTCTCTCTATGACACAGACAAAGAACGATGATAGTTAGTGTCTGTGTGTATATAAATGGATAGCGTGTATGTGTATAGTAAACGGATTATCGTTTGCACTGAATCGACTAGGAACATGTCCATGTGAGAGTATGCAAGTGAGTAAGCACGCTTCTAACAGATACTGCGGATATTCTATAGAACACTTACACTGCACCTGATCAAACGATCAAAAGATCTAATTACTGTCATTGGTGAATGATACGAAGAGCGTATCCTTATCGATCTCGAGAACTTACAGGTCTATGTTCTAAATACCTTATACTCTGTTGTGTGTACGTTTTAATTATGAAATAATGATATTTCTTCTTGAATTGTCTAATAATTCTAAAGAAATTTTGTGTGTGTGTGTGTACATGATTAATAATAATTATTTATACGTAATTATATAGAAATCTCTAAATAGAGGGTGAAATGTCGATTTTATATCATTATTATTATTATTATTACTGCGTTGATAGAAAAATACATGTGATATTATATTTTTTGTAAGAGAATAGATTAAAGAGGATATTAAATAGTGATATTTGTTTTTCATGTTTCATAGGAGGAGGAGTATTTCTATTTTCATTTTCATTCATTATGTTTTTTTTTTTTATACTTCCAGTGTAAACAGCGACGGTTTATCACCATTGGATGTCGCAGTACTCAGTAATAACAGACCGTTGGCAAAAATGTTGGTCACGTTCGGTGCTCAGGAAGGCAACCAATGTAAGTAGAACTAAAATCAATCAGAACGTCATTTTCCACGTGGTTACTGCTTCGAAACGAGTTCGCGTTATTCACCGACTCGTAGAACGCATCCGTTCTGGGAATGAACTTTTCTGGATTATCGTAGAACATATGATACAAGATTTGTCAAATAAAAAAAAAAACAACAAAGACAATAAAATCAATTAGCAATTGTATAAATTATAACTTTAATCAATACGAATATGTATTCTGTGTGAAAAAAATTGGACAAAATTTATTTAAAAAAACAAGTAAAATAAAGTCAAAGGGGGGAATTAAAAAAATACGTCAATGAGGCTCGCGATGTTACAATTGCGCTCGTATTTTGTGTTGTTTGACAAATTTCAAAAGGATGGAAAAGAGAAAAAATGGACTAACAAAATACGATACAGTTTTTCAATTAAAATTTCGTGACTGGCAATAAAAATGGTTGCAAGAGATATCGAGCTGCGACGAGGACGATGACGTAAAAATAAAAGAGAGAAAGAGAAAGAGAGAGAGAGAGAGAGAGAGAAGAAAGTAAAATAAAACAAAAATGCATGAAAAGAAATGTATTAAACGTTTGAATCCAAACTGTACGTTGCGACTAGAGACATTTTTTCCTTCTATCGTTGCTATAAACGATCTTTGCTTTGGTTGTCTTTTTCTACACGTACTATTCTCTCTCTCTCTCTCTCTCTCTCTCTCTCACTTATTCTCTTTCCCATTTTTCTCTTTTCCTTTTATTTCTCTTTTTCGATATCGATTCCGATTCCAATCTTTCTGCGTGAAAAACTTTTTTAAACTATAGTTGAGTTTATAGAACGATCAAATAATAATTCCTTTGATCTGGATTCACCTATAAAAATCAAAAAAAGACATAAAAACACGATTACAATGTTGTTCGCTTTCTTCGATTCAAAATAATAATAAGTAAAAATTATATAAAATAAAAGAAAATTATTAATTACTAAATTAGAGAGAAAATTGATAGTTATATTATTAAAGAATAATCTCTAAGATAACAATCTTTGTTTTATATTATTATCGTGAAAAAAAAAAAATATAATATAACTACCGTAAATATACGAATAAACAATATATCTGAGAAAACCGATACAAAAGTGTATAACTACGTATCGTTAAACGCGAGACAAGAAACTTTTACTATGAAATTGCGTAAGAAAGGTAACGAGACAAGGAGATGTACGATTTCAGGCAAGAAGAATAGTCAATCTCTTCTGATGAATAGTCAGGTGTACGTACTGTAAAATAAATTAGCAACGTGATCTTCATTTATTCGAAGCTATTCCAGAATTTCGTATCTTATTTTATTTTCTTGACATACTTTAGACCTTTCTTTTTTTTTTTATTTTCAACATTAATCTCTTATTCTTTATAACATAATCTCAAAAGTACTGTAACACAAATATCTACATATTTAAACTATTTATTTGAAGTTCTTAATTAATCCTTAAATGTTCATTAAATGGTTACTGCAATTAGCTACACGATTTGATAATAAAAATCTAAAAATAAAACATTCAGTACACCTTACCCCGTCGTATTACCAGGTAACAAAGTGCAACAATGGGGAAACGTATCGTAAACACGAGAAGTGCTACGATATAGTACAATTTTCTATCGATTCGATTCTCAGGCACGATAACGCCGTAAAATTGACAATAATCAGTTTCGTCGCTTCATTGATCCTAAATGAAGCCGATCTTTGCACCGTAATCTCGTCGTTCTTGTAATTAGAAATCCCGTTGGTATGCTAAAACATTGATAGTATACGACAACGTGTTTCTATTACGTATACCTACAACATAACTCATACGTAACTAATATTACGAAATGAAACAAATTACATTACGATTTACTTTTTATTTCTTTTTTAATATTGTTACGCGCGGGCGTTCAAGTATTGTACTTTTTAAAATATCGTGAACAATTTTTATGATTATTTTTACAGTTACGAAATCGAAATAAGTAAAAATATTACCTCTCCCTATCATTTTATGAGAATAGAAATGATCTATAAACGAACTGTTATTTCTTTTTTCGTTCTTAATTTCACCATCGTACTCGTAAAAATATGAAATTATTATTATCACAATTTATCGTCTTAAGGACTAAAAACTACCACGGCAAGTACTTTCATTTTTTTTTTTTATTTTTATTCCTATACCATTTTGGTTAGATCAATGAGATGGAATCGTGCTCTCTTATAACGTTTATTAGTCGGCGTGTTATAATGGAATCTCCCGTTCGCCGAGATCGAGCGCGTTATAGTTCGTAGATTTATATTGCTCACCTAGTACGTAATACACATATATATATATATATGTGTATAATATATCTGATGTACGTGCGTATATTATAGTGACGTATAGATTGCAGCTATGATAATCCCCAGTAAAATTTACATTTAAAACGTGTTCATCCTTACCCACGAAACGTCATTGTTTAATTAAACTCAACTAATTATTATTTACATATCGTTGTAATTTAAAATTTGTCTTGAAAAATCATGAAAAAAAAAAAAAAAAAAGGAAATACAGAATAAAAGTATAAGTATTAATTTTGCATTTGGATTTACGAAAAAAAGAAACGGAAAATATATTTTTATTAAATGTATTAACACAGTAGAGAGCAATCAAGTTACAATTTTAATTCAAAATGTTATACAAAACTTAACAAATGTACACTACAATGCAGGGACACGAACTAAAATTCGATTAACGAATTATAAAGTTCCTTCCGTGTACTGCCAATCCAAACAGAGAAATTCTATTAATTATCCATAATGACTTCGTACCGAAATAATATGTATTTCGCGTGTAACCATGTGTTTTTCATATCAAAATTATAAAATTCTCTTTGGTTCTTGTAATAGCATACGGTGTAATAGTAATAGTAATAATAATAGTAATAGTAATAGTAATAGTAATAACAATAATAGTAGTAATAGTGGTAATAACTAATATTTTAAATCAAAGGCGTTTAATTGTCTACTTAATGTCCCATCTCATATGATACTAATATTTTAAAAGCCGCTATAATAACATTCCTGTCCTCTGGATGCTCTTATATGGGTAATTCCATTGTTACCACGATGAAGTATCGCATTAATAACGAATAATAAGTAATTAACACAAATTTTAATCCAACAGCATAATTGAAGAATGCATTGCATATATAATATATTATCGATTTACAAATTAATATTATATATTTACAAATTCTCCACATAAATAAAAACCCGTTTATTCTACTATTACTAATTGTAAACGATCACTATATTTTCTACTAATTTTCAAAATTCTAAATATAGTTAAATATAATAGGAACGATGGTGAAAAAAAAAAATAGAAATTATATTATTATATTAGAAACGATCTCTTTTATTCCTTTTTTTGTTTGATTTCAAGATAAAGATCGCCCGATAATTGGATGTTTTATTAATTGGTAGGATAATTAAAACTTTTATAGAACATTGGAATTATTTCAGAAAAGTTTCGAGATGTAATAAGTATATAATATAAAAAATTGTCTCAAATATATATATATATATACACTTATCGAGTCTTGTGTATTTGTCGTTAAATATGATTATTAAAAAAATACTCTTTCAAACGCGTAACTATTTATTATTAGATTACTATCCATATTTTTTAATATTCCAAATGATACTTTCATTTTTGGTCGTGAACAAATATGACAACGTGACCATAGTAAACGGAGAAGCGGTAAATGGACCTTGTGATTCTATTGTCATTAGTGAACGTCCTTGAATATTACGATCCCCACCTAAGTCGCATACTATATACCTGCTCATTATTTCCGTATTGCTCTCACGTGTACCAGACTGTAGATATATTCGCGATAACAGAACGACGCGTTAAATTCACCGTCCCTCATCTTCGAGGAATCCGTAGTTCGTATAATATCCGTTCATGATTCATGCTGGCATCAAAATCTCTGACATTGAACCTTAATGTTTCCCTTTTAAAGAGAACATAATTCATCTTTCCACTTAACTGCCATTAAAAAAAGTATCAGTTAAAAATATCTATTCAATATATATATAATCAATTGTGTTCATTATTTTTTTCCTTCATGCTTGTCCTCTCAAAGAATACTAATATCTGTTACGAAAAGTGTATCATAAAATGTAACGTATCGGGTCAGAAAAGGAAAGAGTATTTCTTACTTATCATTTATAACAATACTGTATATTTATTTATAGTCAAGTCACCGGAGTCCTTGGGCAGTCATTTGGCGTCGTTACTGTTGGAAGCAGAACACAGAGTCCAAGAACTCGGTGGCAGCACTTCCGGCAGCGGTGGGAGCACTCTTTTGGAACCACCAAGCAGCCACAGAGCCAGTTTCTCGACGCAGCATAATAATCTTACAGGATGCGGAGGTAGCACTGAGGACAAGCAACTGGCCCTCTGGGAGAGGAGAGCTCGAGCACTCAGAAAAATGTTACTAGGTTTTGATCAAGCAAGTACGTTTTTCTTTTTTTTTTTATTAAATTTTATATTTATCGATAGCTTTAAGAATTTTCAATAAATTTAAACAAAAATTGTAATTATATTTTGTATTCGTTACTTTAAAAAAAAAAAAAAAAATATTAGAACGATGCAAACATGATTTATTCATCATAACAGGACCACCTGACATGCCTTTCATGGTCGCAATCGATGTTACCGGAACGACCTCCGTGACAGTCAGATTTCAAGAACCAGATTCACATGATTCTCCAATTTGTACGAAATTCAAGGTTCAATGGAGTCTCAAAGAGGATTTTTCTACGATATGTGGGGATAGAGAGGTTTTGGATATGAAGCAAAGGGAATGTCGTATCGACGGACTCGTTCAAGGACAAAAATATTATTTTCGTGCGGCTGCTGGAAATTTAAAAGGCTATAGCAGATTTAGAAATTCGACTCCTGCTCATGTAACTCCTAGTAGTAAGTTTTATCGCATTAATTTATTTCTGCAAAAGAAAAATAACATATGTATTATTAGTTTTTTTAAACGAAAAATTCGTAAATGTGAATTTATGTTTGTAAAGGTTGGAGAGACATTGATGGCAGGGTACCAAGATTTGCAGGACGTTTAGAACAATTGAACACCCTCTTTACCGATATCAGACGTCCGGAATACACACACGAGACACCAGCAGTACAAAGACGCAATCATAAGAAGAAAACGACGATAAAACAACTCTTCACCGCTACTAGCAAGTTTCAAAAAAATTTGCGGCGTGGCGTATTCCTTGCTTGTTTGCTTTATCATGAGGATAAGGTGCTCGTAACCAATGAAGACTTTTTACCTGTAATCGAGGTCGATGAAACCTATCCTAGTTCTATCTATAACGATTTTCACTGGCTCATGAAAGTCGCGTGCACGTGGGACGACGTCAAGACTCTACGCCAAGATATGGAAAAAAGTCACAGCAGTTCGACCAATCATTTTAGGATAAAATTGCTCCAGGCTGCTGCACAAATGCAGGTTCGTTTAAATTAGAAATGTTTTCATTTTCGTTTCCTTTTTTCTTTTTTTTTTTTTGTTTATTAAAGAATTTGACCAATCTATTCGCAATTTAATTATCTTCAGGCCGCATTGTGTACGCAAGATCTTGGACAGTTATATCATAAACCGATCAGAGACATTCAAGGAACCCTTGTATTTTCGACAGTGAATTATGTAAAATCACCAAAACTCGTGTCAGTCTTAAATAGTAGGTGGCTTCCTTTGAGTAAAGTAACTAAAAAAATAATAACTCATGAAGACAGCAACGTGGCGGATATTTTGATGGCCAGTATACAAGAACAAATGACATATCACCAAGTCAGTAGTATCAAATTATCAAAGGGTTTATACCTTGGTTATTTGAAAATGCAAAGTAGTGTGGATCTTATACAAGTGGTTGTACCGGCTAAATCACCTAACGTCTTACCACATTGTAAAATACGTGACAACTCTCATGTATCTGCGTAAGTAATCAAGTTTGTTTTATAATACATCCTGCAAATGTATGAGAGAGATTTTAATGAATATAATATATGTTTATTTAGGGAAGAATGGGATTATCTGAAAAGGATAACTCGTATTTATGCGTCAGATAATTCTGTCAAAGATTCTGAGGAGAAAGAAAATGTAACAAATGAATGTCAGGGTACAGAACAGCAAAAATTATTCGTCGATTTGGTTTCCGCAACGGCACGTCGTCTATTTAATTATATGGAAATTAGTCCAGAGGATTCTTTATTATATCGACTTTACGATGCCGAAGTAATCGATCTCACGCACGATGTATCATTCCTAATTGCCGTACCTCCTGCAGAAACAGCTTGTTGCGTACCTGGAACTAGAGAAATTCTCTTACAAAGAGGAGACTTACTATCTTTACCTATTCAAGTATTCGAAATGGTTCACTTAAATACATACCAAAAGGATGTAATTAATCGATATTCAAGACTAAGCTGTATATTGGAATTAGACACCGCACAAGCTCAGCATAATCATAGGGAAGCTTTTAGCTCTTTAGAACTAAGTGTAGCAAAAGATAAACTTGCGAGATTACAAGATATACAGTCTCAAGTAAACACAGTATGGAAGGGTGCTAGATGGCTTATCGACGTCATCACTTTTGCAAGAGACCGTGGATCCGGACAACAAAGCGTAAGTCTTATAATTAAATTATAATAAATATTAAAAGGTAAATTTGTAGAAGATAGAATTATAATATTCTATTCGATTTATGTTTAGGGTACATCACAGACTGTTGGTATATCTATGAAACATCTATTAGGTTTAGACAGAAATAAAAGCAACAGCAATAGTTTAAAAAGAAGTCTACTTCAGTTGCCACCTCGTGATCCTAAACTCGTGAAATCGAGTCCAGGACGTGGAAGTTGGCCAGGTCCAAATGTTACGAATTCTTCTTCCAATTTACTTACAACGGAATTCAGCAAAAGTGAACAACAATTACCTAGTGGTCAATACGTGTGCAAGTGTAGTCACGTTTCAACTAAGTCAGAACCTCAAATATCATCCGTACCTACAAATGTACGACTTCCACCTTCGAAATCTGAGGACACTTTATTACTTACCAAATACAAACATAGCCCTAGAAATCGTTCGGCCACCATCACTTCTGCGTCGGCAAGTACCAGTCCATTACTTAATATAAAACCGATTCTCTATGGTGGATCGCTTTTAAGCGTATCAACAGCTATGACCAACACCAACACGAGTCTTCTCAGTGTTAGTAACACGAATTCCGACAGTCTTCATTCCCTAAGCAGCGATGAATATTCAACGCCGAATTCAAGTGTATGCTTAAAACCAGGACATATAAAAGTCAAAACGACTAAATCCAACGCTAGTATAACAACTATGGCTGCTTCAGTAGGAGATAATCAATCGGAAGAAGAAAAGGATGAAGCAACAATGATGCCAGCACCACTACCTGGTATTCTTCAGGTAACAAATTATAATATTTAATTTTTATATGGGTACTAAAAGTAAAAGAGCTTATAGTTAAGTAGCTTATAGTTACATCTAGTATATAATTACAAATAAAAAACACATTGTTTTACCAAAGGTAGTATAAAAATAATTATCGTTAATTTCTATAGTAAAAGTAAGCGATTTTATGTTGCACATGGAAAATAAATATAATAATTCTTTAGATTTAGATTTAAAAAAGCTTCGTATAGGATACTATTGCTTAATTGAAACTTCAGTCGGAAGCTTCTCTTTTAGACATGCAACAGTGCATTTAAATATTGTTTTTCCTTATAGGGGACGCAAGTCTAACCCGATTATAGTTAAAAACAGCTCACTTGGTCTTCTAGTGCAAACCAATGTAGCAGATACATAAGTAAGCCGCTACATCGCAAAATTTAATTACTTTGTGCAGTCTTGCTTCTACAAAATTAATTAATGTATTAATAAGTATAGCATGAGACATCTACTGTTTGTTGCTTTATCATCTCAAGGCAGAAGCGGAATTCAGCAGCATCGTTTAGCTCACACATTATACATTACAGCTATTTCTTTTTATCTGAAAATGTAATTTAAGCGCTTATGTAATTGCTTCCTGTTTTTTTCGACATATGTATTAATACATTATTATAGCAGAATATAAACTACGAAATTGCATTTTTATGCGAATAATCTAGCGCTTTATTGTAATGCTGCAGATACATATTCAAAGGATAAAATCTTTTTTAGGAATTTGTATTTGTAAAATCGATATTATAAAATAATAACAAACATTGTTGTATATACAAAGAATTTTGCCAAGACTTTGCGTATTGCTTTTATAACAAAATTTATGTTTAGTCAATGTAAATGAAGTAAACATTGAGTGACTCACATTATAAAAACGTATATAATGTTGAAAGTAATGCTGCAAGAAAAATATATATCTATATGACTCTATTATAATATAATTTGATTCTTTACTTATAATTTATTTGAAAAAAGAAAATATTTTCATCGTTACAGGTTTATGCGGCCTATGAAACTGGTTTGGCTTCTGGTACCAGTTTAAAATTACATGTAAATCCACGAACCACAGCAAGAGAAGTTGTGGATCTTGTTGTGAAGCAATTAAATATGGCAGTAGTCTTAAAGGGTCAAGATGGGCCTATCTACACAGTCGATGAATTACCAAATTTTTGCCTAGTTGCTGTAATTGGTGCGAGGGAACGTTGTTTAAGAGATGATTTTAAACCCCTTCAACTACAAAATCCGTGGAAGAAGGGCCGTTTGTATGTCAGACAAAAACAGGATGTTCTTGCTGCTCTCGAACACAGTAGCAAGCATACAGCCTATTTATAACAAACATCTGATTAAAAATATTAAAATTCACATGTGTAATCTCTTTAGTTAACAAAATATGACACAGTGATAACTATTAATATTAAAATGATAATGTAAAGCCACATATTGTGGATCTAATGAAAATCATCATATGACCTATAAATTGAAAGTTTCATTTTATAGGACTTGATGTTTTTAAAAGGATTGCTTTTACTATTAGTATTGAAAATAATTTATTATACGCGTATTAAAATAATCAGGAATAAAACTTGATTTTCTCTTTTCATATAAAGTCAACTAGCTTTAG